TAGGTGGTCAAGATCCAAAGGGACAAGGCAAATGTCGTTTTAATGGCTCCTGCTTGGGCGCATCAGCACTGGTACCCTATGCTCTTGGAGCTATTCATTTGGCACCCAGTCACACTGTCTCTCCTGCTGGACCTCATCACACAGGATTATTGTCTCCCTCTTCACCTGGACCTTCCTTCCCTCCACCTGATAGAAATGGAGGGTTTGTGGCTGAATGCAATGCTTGGAACATGTCCAACATGTATTTTCCTGCTTGGGCGCATCAGCACTGGTACCCTATGCTCTTGGAGCTATTCATTTGGCACCCAGTCACACTGTCTCTCCTGCTGGACCTCATCACACAGGATTATTGTCTCCCTCTTCACCTGGACCTTCCTTCCCTCCACCTGATAGAAATGGAGGGTTTGTGGCTGAATGCAATGCTTGGAACATGTCCAACATGTATTTTTCAGCAGCTGCAAGCTTTCCATCAAACTAACATGTGGCCAAGTGAAAGCAGTTTATACACTGGTGTTCTCACTGCTGCCTTGAGCCCCTGTCTATCTCCATACCAAATGTGCTCAAATACTTTGTGTTTAAGGACCAGGGCCTGACAACCTTATTCCTCATTGTTTACCAAGCTGCCATATCAGCGTTCCACCCTAGGGAAGCTGGACCCTGTCTTTGCAAGCCCCCATTGGGACGCTTTCTCAAGAGGCTGGACATCCCCAACCAGATGCCCGGTTTCAGCATGGTATCTCAACTTGGTTCTTCTCATGGGACTGCCCTTTGAACTCCTGGACACATGCTCTCTCCTGTATTTCTTCTGGAAGATAGCCTTCTTGATGGCCATCAACTCACAGACATGTTTCGGAGCTCTGTGCCTTGACATCGGAACCTCCATACATGGAAGTCCTTTCATAAGGATTTGGTTCAGCTCAGACCTCGGCTTTTCTCTTAAAGGTGATTTCCAGTTTCCCATGCAAGCCAGAATATTTTCCTGCCAGTTTCCACCCAAAAAAGTTTGCAGGACCACCAGATGCACTCTCTTGATGTCAGATGGACCCTTGCCTTCTACATTCATCATGCCTAGCCCTTTCGGAAGTTGAGGTAGCTCTTTGTCACCGTGATGGAAAGTTAGAGGGAGCTACTGGTTTCATGTCAGCACATTTCTTCCTGGATCCTGTCCTATATCTGTACATGCTCTGATATAGCCAAAACACATCCTCTGCCTCTGACTGCACACTCAACCCGGGCTCAGATCTCCTTTGCAGCCTTTCTAGCCCAGGCTCCTCTCCAGGAGAGCTGTAGGGCTGTAATGTTGTCATAGGTCCTTATCTTCACCTTGCACTATGCCATTGTGCACCAATCAAGATAGGATGCATCGTTTGCTGTGGAGGTGCTCCAGTCATCAGCTTGTTGACTCCAACCCTTCCTCCTGCTTATGGCTTGTAAATCACATAAGTGGAATTGATATGAGCAAGCACTCGAAGGGAAAAAAAATTACCTTTGTAACTGTTTCTTCTTTGAAATCTATTGCTCATATCTATTCCATACCCACCCTCCTTTCCCTCTGTTGGAATAGCTGTCAAGAAGGAGCTGAGGGGTTGGCGGGGTTAGCAGGGTTAGAGTGCCATGCCAGTGCTGCTTCAGGGGGCTCCACAGCCTACTCAATGGAAAATGGATAGGTTAAAAAGCTTTTTGACAATTGTGCACAGGGCATGCACATGCATCTAAGTGTAATTGCTATAAGAAACACATCTCGGGGGGGAGGGGGGGGAATAGTTAAAAAGGCGAGTAACCGTTTTTTCCTCAACTGTTCGTGAAGCTAGAGTCATCCTGCTCTGCTGAGATACAACATGTACTATTAAATAGTTAAATTATTTTTGTGGAAACTTTTCTTTTATCTTCAGAAGTGGACAAGATTTGGCCAGGGATATGAACTCCACAGTGCTGATCTTGAATCTGCTTTCCTTCCGTTTGTTGTGGAGTATCTGCTACAGCTTAAGAAATCAGGATAAACCTGGATGGAATTCAGGGGTTATCCGGCAGTCCTAACAGCCTTTCATACTACTATCAAGGGGCTTTCTTTATTTGCTCACTCCATAGCCACAAGTTCATAGAAGGCCTGAGGAATCTCTTCCCAGATATAAAAGTACCTGCTCCTATCTGGAATTTGAACTTGGGTCTCAAAAGCCTCACAAACCCCCAGCCCACTTGAATCAATGACTGCCTACTCATTGAATTTATGTAGGAAACCCACCTGTCTAGCAACTATTCTCTCAGCCTGCAGGGTCTGAAAGACTGGGGTCTTAATGGTAGACATTGAAATGTTGGTAGAAATGGAAATGGTTTTGAAATTGCATAGGCTACAATTTTATTCCGGGGAATGAGAGGTGAAAACTTGGTTAAGTTGAGAGGAATATATGGGGAGAAAGTAACAGAGATGACTATGGTAAAGTGGGAAATGCAGCAGAAAGTCACAACCTGTTACCTCTGAAAGTTAAGCTTCATACAAAATAATTAAACAGTAACTTTAAGTCATAGTTCTCTGTCCAAAGATCACTTGAATACATTTATTGAGAACATAATCTGATGACTTCTTCAGTAATCCCTACCATCTTTTCTTAGGTTGTCCACATTCTAACTTGTAGTTTTAAGGGTGGAAGTGGGTTCAGTTGAGAGCCCAAGAACTCCCTACTTGTAAAATCTGAACTTACTTCCGAATCCCTTTATTTGTTCTAAGTGAAATACCATGAGACTAAATAGAGAAACTTGTAACTCTGTAAACTAAAAATAAATTGTTGTTTTCTTCCCCAAATCTTGCTGTTTGTCCATTTTTAGATGTGGTGAGTTCTGTCCCCACAAAGCGAACACACATTGGGAATGCATAAATAGTTTCTCTGCTCTTTTGCAGGTGTTTCAAGTATTGAATGAAAAGAGACAGTTGTATGCTATCAAATATGTGAATCTTGAGGAAGCAGATCAACTGACTGTTGAGAGCTATAAGAACGAAATTGCTCATTTAAATAAACTACAGCAACATAGTGATAAGATCATCCGACTTTATGATTAGTGAGTAAACCTTTTTAAATATTTTTTTTCAAAATATTCTTCAAAGCAGTTACTCTACAATTTAATTTGTGTAATGATAACTCCTTATTATTTATTTTAGTGAAATCACTGAGCAGCATATCTACATGGTAATGGAATGTGGAAATATTGATCTCAATAGCTGGCTTAAAAAGAAAAAGACCATTAATCCATGGGAACGAAAGAGCTACTGGAAAAATATGTTGGAAGCTGTTAACACAATCCATGAACACGGTATTGCTAAATATTTCTAGATGATGGTTTAGTATGTGATAAAATTTTCTGACCTATTTTAGTTTGGTGGAGCAGCTGCTCTCTGTGCTGGGGGAAGCTGAGACACATTCCAGGATTGTGGCTTTAAGGCAGAGTCCTTGAGGTTTTGTTTATTTTGTGTATTTCAGAGCACCTCTGATTTCCAGAGGGATGTATAACCTCTGGAACATAAGTACCACAGTTATACTTTACTCCACAGTTTTACCAAATTTGATCCATGTCTTGACTAAAATGCTTGCTAAATAGTGTCAATGGTCTGTTCAGTGGTAACCAGGACACAGATACAAAGACTGGAACAGACTTTTCTTTTTGTTATATGGTTTTCATGCCTCCCTTGTTTCCCATGTAACTACCTTCCATTCATTTGCAACATGGAAAAAAAATTATAAGACACTGACTGGATCACATTATTCCTCCCTGTATTTCTTACCAATACTTCATATCAGAGTCAAGCTGCTTGTCCTCTCCTTTTAAGACTTTATATATGATAACTCTACCCTTTCTTCTGGTTTGCTCTGTTTCCCTCTTATATACTGACCCTGCCTCATTAAATCTGATAACTAACATTGCTTCCATTTTCTTTTCTCAATTCTGTGTGTCTGCCTTTCTCCTTGCTGACTCATATGGCCCCCTCTCTGTATCTGTCTGACAAGATAGGGATTATTTATATCAGGGGTGGGAAACCTCAGGCCTGGGGACTGGATGCAACCCCCGGCTTGCATGGATGCAGCCCTTGAGGCTCAGGGCCCCCCTTCATTGGAGAGCCTGTGCTGGCACTCCAGTTCCCCTGGGCTGGAGCACACAAAATCATCTAGGCTGGCCCTCCATAGACTTTAGTGTGTGAGGGGAATGTGAGGAGTGTCTTTTTCCTTCTCAGTCGAGCATCACATCAGTGAGGGTTTTTTGTGTGCAGCCCCTGATTTTTCTGTGGGTCAGTGGCCCCTGACCCAAAAAAGGTTCCCCACCCCTGAATTGTGTTGTTTCTGACCTATTTTATTCATCTCATTTACATCTGTCATTTTTCATGCAACAAAATAAGTGGATATTCAAAGAAAATGGAAGGTAGCAAATTCAAAACTAATATTTATTTCACTTGTGTATAACTAAACTGAATGCTATAAAATGTCATTTGGCCAAGAACTTGGCAAGATTCAAAGGGAAAATGGATGACTACATGAATAACAAGTATATCTAGAATTGACGTTAAGACTATTGAAAGGAAAGTCTCATGCTTCAGGCTTTAAACCAATCTGTCATTAAACATTAAGTTGGGAGAGGCAGATTATCCTACGTCAGCATTTCTGCATTTTCGAAGGCAGGTGGCCAACATGTGGCTTCGGCGCCACATGCAATTTTTTCAGGCGTTAATGTGCAGATCCTTGCATAAGCACCAACCCTGGGGCTGGAGCTACAGGTGCTAGCCTTCCAGTGTGCTAGGGGTGCTTACTGCTCAACCCCTGGCTCTGTCCCAGGTCCTGCCCCCACTCCATCCCTTCTCTCATGGACCCCGCCACTTCCCCAGGGGCTGCCATGCCCTTGTCCCTCCTTCTCCCTTCCCTCACAGAGCCTCCTAAACATTGCAAAACAGCTGATCGTGGCAGGCAGAAGACATGGGGAGAAAGGAGTTGCTGATTGATTGGTGGGGCTGTGGTGGGCAGGAGGCACTACTGGTGATGGGGGAGGGGGAGGTGAGGATGGATTTTCTGATGTTTTACTGTGGCTTTGTGGCAATGTATATTGTTAATTCTGGCTTTTTCTCAGGCTCAGGTTGGCCACCTCTGTTCTAAGGAATCTAATGTTGACTGCTCTGAGAGGACAAAATGAGCTATAAACCATGAGCCTGATAAAATAAGGCAATTCTGTGTTCTTATTTAGTGGCATAACGGAAGTGTTGTTTTCTTACCTTGCAGGCATTGTGCACAGTGATCTGAAACCAGCAAACTTTTTGATAGTTGATGGAATGCTAAAACTAATAGATTTTGGTATTGCGAACCAAATGCAGCCAGATGTGACAAGCATTGTTAAAGATTCACAGGTGAAATACTTTTGGTACGGTTGAACCTCCCATATCCAGGACTCTGTGGTCCAGTAACATCCGTGGTCCGGAAGGAAGGACCACGAATGTTGCTGAACAAGAGGGCCCCAGAAGTGAGGAGCATGAGCCAGCTGGGAATCGCGCAGGTGCTGGGGAGCCCCAGCTGGGCTGGCAGGGACTGGTCCTGTGGCAGGTGGGCAGTCCAGCCCAGGGGAGTCCCAGGTCAGGGAGCCCCTATGGCAGCTAAGAGGAGTCAGTCCCGGCCAGGTACCCCAGTGGAGAGGGGCTGGTGTGGCTGGGGGAATCCCAGCCAGAGGAGCCGCTGCATGAAGTCAGCAACGGGGAGGGAAGCCCAGGCTTCAGGGACACCTACAGCTCAGAAAGGAGCCTTGATCTCCCTTGGTCTGGTAAATTCTGTAGTTCGGGACCACTGTGGTCCCGAGAGTGCCAGACCAGGGAGGTGCAACCTGTAGATGGATTACCACGTTTTACAAAATGTAATTTCTGAATCTGCTACATTAAAAGTGATCTACCAACCTAAAGAAAACAACAAACATTACAATTTTGTGCTACACAATACTTTTAATGTTTCTCGAGGCAAGATATGAGCTAATAAAACAAATGCTACTGATAATCCTAGAGGGAATTTCTGTGTTTATTACATGCATATTTCAAAATAACGGACGGTTTATTCTGAAATCTGTAAACCTAATTCTACAAGGAATAACGCCTATTTTGAAATAGCTATTTTGACTTAAGGCGTGTGTAGACGTTCCACTGCTGCTATTTCAAAATAGTCCCTCGCCATGGCCATTCTAAGTTATTCCTCTTCTGGGGCTCTAAATTGAGATAGCATGTCTACATTAGGGAAGCCTGCCACGGACTAATTTTGAGGCTTCACTGCAGTGTAGACGTGCTATTTCGAAATATTTCATGCAGTGTAGATGTACCCTAAAAGTCCGAGCATGACACAGATACTCACCCAAATACTAAGCCTGGAATGTTGCTTTTCAAGGCTTTTATTAGATTTCAAACCTACCTATTCAACTGTAACTTACTTGTAAAAATTCTTTTTTCCAATAAGTTAAATTCCATTAAATACTTGGTTAATTTAAATATATGTATATTATTTGTTACCAGGTTGGCACAATTAATTACATGCCGCCAGAGGCAATCAAAGATATGTCTTCCTATGGAGAAAATGGGAAATCTAAATCAAAGGTAATATATTCTCTCTCTTATAAGTAGGATATATTTCAGGTATCTTGAAGAAACAAAAACTTAGAATATAAAACTTTCACTGTAACAGAACATGGAGGAAAACTATTTCATCAAGGCATCTGAGTAGAGTACATGCTTGCTTTTTCCTTGGAGGTGAAGATGGGCAGGGCAACAGATGGGAGGGTATGACTGAAGTCCTAAATTATGAAAGAGAGCAAATTGAGAAATTGCGATCTCACTCTGATTAAAAGGAAAAACTAGCAAAACTAAACTGAAGTTAAAAGGAAAGGAGTATAAAATAACAAGTGGGAGACTCTTGTAAAATAAGTTACATTTAATGCTTTTTTTTTAAAAAAAAAGCTGACTGTCAATGTTCTAGTTAGCTACTATAAATGAGAAATCGTGCATTCCCTTAAGAATGGACATGGTGTTTTATGGGAGACATAGCACAGTATAACTTCCTAGGGTATGTCTAAACTACATGGCTCCGTCCACGGAGCCATGTAGATTTGTTGTTTTGGCAAAGTCAAATGAAGCCACGATTTAAATGATTGTGACTTCATTTAAATTTACATGGCTGCCGCGCTAAGCCGACAAAGAGCTGATCAGCTGTTTGTCCGCTCAGCGCGCTAGTCTGGACGCTCCCCTGCTGACATCAAAGCCCTTTGTCGGCAGCCCCGTTATTCCTC